TTCTCAGGGGGTAGATCATGCTCCTCTCACGGGACATGGTCAGGCCAGTTCTGAAATAGTTAGGTAAACGTTTTAGTGAGCATGGAACAAAAACTGGCATATTGCACCCATGATTTTATGTTTGATTATCATTCATAATGAAATAAAATTTAAAAATGTGGAACGTTGCGGGAAAAAATTTAAGACATAATCATATAGATGTGCACTATTCAGTACAGCAGCTACTGACCACATGTGGCTATTTAAACTTAAATTGAAATTAATGTAAAGTAAAACTCAGTTCCTGAATCACACGAGCCACATTTCAGTTGCTCAGTAGCCACGGGGGGCTAGGGGCTACCATCTTGAACAGCACAAACATAGAACGTTTCCATCATCGTAAAATGGCCTATTGGGCAGTGCTGTGTTAGAGCTGCCTTCCACTAGATCAGTGCCTTTGAAGTTCACTGTAGCTCTAAATCAGTTCCCTTTAGAACCTGACTTGGCTCTGGATAAGTCTATATCCACCTGCACCGTCCACCAGTCACCTGTTGGTGTTGAGCACTGGAAATATGGCTAGTCTGAATTGAAATAAGATTACACTAAAGTAAATGCAAAATACACATTGGATTTCAAAGTCCTAGTATGAATAAAGAGTGTAAAATATATCATTAATAATTTTATACTGACTCTATGTTAAAATACTATTTTGTGTATTGTATCAAACAAAATGTATTTTTGAAATTAATTTCACTTATTCCTTTTACCTTAATATTGCTATAAGAAAATTTTATTTGTATTTCCCTGATGCCAAGTGATGTGGAGCATTTTTTCTTGTGTCTGTTGGCCATTTGTATGTCTTCTTTGGAGAAATGTCTGTTCATGTCTTCTGTCCATTTCTTGACTGGATCACTTGGTTTTTTGGGTGTTGAGTTTGAGAAGTTCTTTATAGGTCTTGGATACTAGCCCTTTATCTGATATGTCACTTGCAAATATCTTCTCCCATTCCGTAGGTTGCCTTTTAGTTTTATTGACGGTTTCCTTTGCTGTGAAGAAGCTTTTTATCTTGATGAAGTCCCAGTCATTCATTTTTGCTTTTGTTTCCCTTGCCTTTGGAGATTTGTCTAGCAAGAAGTTGCTGTGGCTGAGGTCAGCTGAGGGTTACTGGAGGGGAGATGGGTGGGGGGAATGGGGTAATTGGGTGATGGGCATTAAGGAGGGCAGGTGATGTGATATATACAACTGATAAATTACTGAACACTACATCTGGAGCTAATGATACACTATATGTTGGCTAGTTGAATTTAAATTTTTAAAAAATTTTTAAATAACTTATATGGCTTGCATTATATTTCCATGGACCTCTCTGCCCTATTATGTGACTCAAGTGCTATTTCCCTTTTTCTTTTCTAAATCTGTGCTGCCCAATACAGTAGCCATAAACCACTTGTGGATATTTAAACTGAAATTAATTAAAATTAAACAGAACTTAAAATTCAGTTCATGGGTCACATTAGCCACATTCCACATGCTCAGGAACCGCTTGTGGTTAGTGGCTATCATATTGCACAGCACAGATCTGGACCATTTCCATCACTGTGGGAAGTTCTATCATACAGAGCTGATGTACGTTGTACATAGTTATGGCAAAAACCACAGAGTTGGGGTGTGAGTGCCTAAAGCTTGAGAAGCATTTCTGGGGTTCCCAGCTCTGCAGCACATCACCCTCCCACCTCCTGGGCACCTGTCCCTTCCCACCTTTGTTAGACTTGTTTATGCACACCTTATCTCTTCTTTCCTGCAAGGGCTGTGGCGTGCTTATCTCCCACTGAACACACTTTCCTCCACCCTCCTGTACGTACACGGTATCTAACACCGTGCTCTGCACAATATAGGTACTCAGTAAATATTTGTTAACCAGCTGGAGTGGCAATTCCTAGCAAGTAATTGGAAATATATGGCTAGGGGGGAGATCAATAATGACTGGTAGCAGGGGGATTAAAAAAAATAGAAAGGTCAAGTCCAGAAGGGAGGGGAACTGGTAGAGGGACAGTGGTGATCCGGAGATCTCATACGTGTCACCCACAAGCCCCTTGCAGGCAGCCACAAAAGTTGCAGGGGAATTCACAGGCTTAGGCAATGGCCATAGAAAAGGTACAGAAGACATCCAAAATATGATTACATGATAAATAAACATGCAAGACCCATACATGAGAAGCTGAAATGGCATGAAAATTAAGGGTCTAGCGAGGAGAAAAATGAGCAGTGTTCTCTCCCTGGGCCAGCTGGTTTGAGTTACATTTTATGAGCAGCATGTGAATTCTAGCGCCCTTGTTGAATTAGCAGCCGAATCGCACATTACTTTTAAGGCTCCCTCTCGAATAGGAACATCATAACGCTTTTTAATTGGGGCTGATAAAAACGTAGCATTACTTGTAGGTTCCTGAGAGAAGTGAGTTGTGAAATTGGGTTTTCATTAAACCTAATGATGGGAAATTAAGTATAGTGCGTCTGGTGAAATGGGGTGTGATAAAAGGCATCACTTCTGCATTATCGGAGGTTAATAAGGGAATAGGTGAGGTTAGATATATTGGAAAGGGAGTCCAACTAGTTGAATTAATAAACCTTGAAAGCCCCTTGGTTCTGAGTCTTCATAGCATCATTAGCACCAGCGTTGACATTATTACAAATGTTACAGCGATACAAGTTGTTAAATTTCAAATGCATTTGTTTTCCATTCCAGTGTTGGTTTTGCTGACACCAAGTTTACAGTCTGTGTAGCAGCGTGTTTAGGGAAAATATCCATATTGGTTTGGGAAACATTTGGCATCTCACAAAATTTGCCAGGGGCCCATTCCCAAGATGCCTGTCTCTGCCAGGGAGCCAGCCTCATAGGCAGTCCACGCCCCAGGGCCTTTGGGAGACCACGGGTCTGCAAAGACATCTGTCCCCATATGCGCTGGTGGTTTAGGTGGGAGACACAGGGCTCCGGGCACAGACTCCAGCTCATGCTGTCCTGGGGATCGTGAAGTGCAGCATCTAGAGAAGCAAACTCAAGTGCCCCTTCCCCATCCCCAAGACCACCATAGCATCACAGGAGTGATGTTCACTGGAAGGAGGCCTCATGTCAAGACAGCTGGGACACCTGCAGCAAAATAGTGTGTCCTTAAAGAGAGGAATTCTTCTTAAAACCCTTCAGCAGCTGCCCACTGGCTTGGAGATTCTCACCCATTTACAGCCTCCTTGACCTACCTCTCATCATCTCTTGCAGCTTTGCCCCTTCACATTTCCACCCACCACCTTCTCTCCATTCCAGCCTCCTTGCTCTTCCCTCAACGTGCTTGGCTTCTCTGGCTTCTGTTCTCGTGCTTCAGATGGTTCTTCTGGTCTGTCGGCCATACCAGATTATCGAGTCTTGAGGGTGAAATCTGTGTGCTGCACATTGCCAGTGCCTACCACATCCCTGGCATGTTGAGAGTGAGTTCTCAATAAATCTGACTCCTGATCCCATGGGTGTGGTGGAGAATAGCAACCCCCACATTTGCAAAGATCTACATTGAAACAATGCCAGTGAACACGTACTACCTGTTACCTATGATCCCAGAAGAAGTAAGCAGTATTTTTCTTCTGGGCGGTCAGGAAAGCTGTGTTAACATCTCACCTAGGCCCTTCCTCCTTGTACATAAACCTATACACTCTAGATCTTTCCGTTGGCAATCCTTTCCTTGCTTGGAACAGTTTTGCTCTTGCTGTCACATAGAAAATTTCACTTTTATATACAGAATCAATGTCTGGGGGATTATTGTGACATGAGCGACAGACAAGCTAAAGGAAACATGAATTTTGAAAAGACAAGTTGCAGAAAGTCAGGAATATATGCTAAAGCCTCCCAGGGAGTGAACATGGCATAGGCTCAAATGGGGTCTGCATGGGTACCTTGTGGGACCTGAAAACGCTGGGGTGAGTCACATCAAATGTGGCAGTTCTCACCTCATGCATGCCACACCAGGAGGGCCTAGGGTGTAGATTGTCCGTGTCTCTGGGAGGAGATGTGGGAAACCAAGCCTAGATGGTTGTGAGAAAGACAAAGTAGCCCTGAAAGACCAGCAAGGTATGCTTGCCGGGGAGTCAGTGGGGCAAGAATGTGGTGGTTCTGGTACAAAGGGAACAGGGGGATTCACATCTAGCCTCAGCAGGATGGTTTCCAGGGTGGCCAAGCTCGCAGAGGCCGGTCAGCGCAGCTCAGTGGGTGTGAGGATTATTATCAAGGAGAGCATAGACCTTCCATCAAGGAGAGATTTGAGAAAGGAGATGGGGCATAGGACCCAGGCCTGGGAGAAGAAGCTAGCAGGACTAAAGGAAGAGGTTTGGGCTTCCTTACCTGACAGGTAGGTTCGGCGCCACTCCTGGATCGAGAGTGTTAAGCAGTGGGGAAACTAGACCATAAGCAGAAGGCGATCGCTGTTGCAGAGCCCACAGCTGGAGAGAGCGGCTGAGAGGGTGAACGTCCCTGCTCCCGGTTGGGGTTCCTAGACTGGCTTCAGTTCCTCTCGCGGATGTAGGCAAATGGAGCAGGAGCAGACACGTGGCTCTGATCTCCAGAGACCTGGGGCTCTCCTCACTTGCAGGCAGGCACCAGAGATGATTTCCTGGCATCCTCCTTCCTAAACAGCCGTCTGGCTTCTCACTTGTTCTGGGGTTGGCCAGGCTTAGCCAAGACCACCTTTGTCAAGGACTGAGACAGAGGATGACAGCCAACCTGGAATTTTGTCTCTGCTCTGATACGCACCCTTGGAATAGAAACAAACCCAAAGGGCTATTGTGTTCTTTGGTTGGTTTGTTGTTTTGATTTTTAAATTGACCTCCACAGCCATGCAAGGGGAAGCAGTGTGTCTTTGTTCTTCCTGTGGCTTCCTGATCGCCTGAGTCCTGAGTTAGTTCCCCCTGCCCTGGGGGAGGCAGGGAGGACAGAGGACAAAACTCTCATAGGTGATGTGTGTTTTGCCTCCTTCTCTTTGAAGCAGATGGCAGCCGTGGGGAGCTGTCCCAGCCTACGCTCACAATCCAGACTCACCCCTACCGGGCTTGCGACCCCGTGGAGATGAGCTATCCCCGGGACCAGTTCCAGCCCGCCATCCGGGTGGCTGACCTGCTACAGCACATCACCCAGATGAAGAGAGGCCAGGGCTACGGGTTCAAGGAGGAATATGAGGTAAGAGACCAACCGGGGTGCAGAGGTTTTAGGGGTGCTAAATCCTAGCTACTCAAGGTATGGTCCCCAGACCAGCAGCATCAGCATCGCTTTGGGGGCATGCTGGAGAGGCACCATCTCAGTCCCCACCCAGACATACTGAATCAGTTTGCATTCATACTTTCCTGCAATAGGAAGACAGAATGGCTCAAACCCCATCCCACCCGTTGTGTAAAAAAAAAAAAAAAAAAAAAAAAAAAAAGCCAGTGATTTCTGGGAGGCCTGCTCTGGCCTCGTTATCTGGCTCCTGCTGCTCACCACCCAGCCCACACCCCTACCAAGTCAGTATCACGTCTGGTGTCTGCTGCCTTCTCTCTCTGTACCTTCTCCTCACCCCTGCTCATCCCTGTCCTCCCTCCGCCGAGCGTCTCTAATGCAAAGGACTTTGTGAGTAGTGGTTGTTACTGAGGTTTGGGGAATAAGAGAAGGGTTGCAGCAAAGTACAGGAAGTACCTGAATGGAAGCCCTCCGGAGGTTCTGGTCTCCTGACACATGTCTGTCCACTCCCTCCCAAAAGTCCTTTGTGGTGTCCTCAAAATCTTCCTTCTTCTTCTTCTTCTTCTTCTTCTTCTTCCCAGCAGCCTGGAAAAGAATTCCTACACTCCCCTCGCTGTTATGCAGAACAACTCAGCTTTCTCTATCTCCCTTCTTTTGTTTCAGACCTTGCCCATTAGGCCTCACCTTTTACAAAGAGTAAAATAAAATAGGAGGAAAAATTCATTAAGATGTTTTCCTGAAAAAAAAAAAAAAAAGATGTTTTCTTGAACTAAAGGGCACCTCACGCCCCCAGAGGAATTTTGCAAGCCTCCTCCTGAAGCCGGCTCTGAAAACAAGCATTTCTTTCTTTGATTCTCCTTTTCCTCTCTCTCTCCCTCTCCTCCTTCGTTCCCAAAATATCTTTCGAGCATCTACTGTATGCCAGGCTCTGAGTTATATGTACTAGTTTTTTGTGGGTTTTTATTTCACATGCAGCATGTGCCCCAAATATGCTTGCTTCAATTATACACTGTGTGCAGTGGGAACGCATTGACTCAGACTCTACACATTTGGAATTCTTGATAATGCAGACTAAGTTTATCTCTCAGACTATATTCTGAGAAAAAGCTTACAAAGCAGTTTCACAAGCTGTGTGAGGTCATGAAATTGTGCTAAACTGGGGATCCAGACAGCCAGATTCCAATACAATAAACTGTGTGATATTAGCTTATCATTTTGCTCCCTGAGTTTTGAGATTCTTTATTAGTTGAGTGGAGAGTTTGGATAAGGTGATTGATTTATAAGGGGCCGGTCTGGTCCTAACACTAGGAGAGTATAAAACACGGTGGCAGGGGGCATGTTTGACACACTTATGGGAACAAAAACGTTTATGTCAATGGATAGGAGTAATGACCAGCTCAAGAGAACGTACATTTAATTTCAAATATGGTCCAAGGAAAAGAGCATTTTTCATATGCTCAGTCTACAAGTTTTGGAGGAAATTGGGATAATAGTTGAAGGAGATTGTCTCATCGCCTCCCGTCCCTGGGCCTGATTTCCTAGGAGTTTTGTTGAATAGTCCCAGCCCCTGAAAGTGTTATACACACATGCTTATGCACAACTGTGTAGCTCTGACTGGCGAGTGAATGTCAGGAGAGAGTGTGCTGTTGGTAAAGGCTCATTCAGTGTCATGATGGTTTAATAAGTCATCAGCCCTACTATTTCATTTGTTTTAAGGTTTGAATAGCATTAAGGGAGACAGCTGACTTATCAGAATGGGGAACAAATAGTCAAAGACTGAGAAACACTATTCCAGACCCTGTGGTCTAACATCTGAAAACAAAAATACAAGTACATTTGACTCCTTTAGTACCTTTCTTTCCAGAATGATATCTTTTTTGAAAGTATCCATTCCTGTGTGATAGGATTTGGGTTGATTTTTAAAATTTATTTTTGTGCCTTTTTGAATTTTCTAAACTTTCTAGCATGGAAACGGTCCACTTTTATAGTGAGAGAGAAAACTGTGTATGTTGTTCCATCATTTCGACCTCAAACGGAAACATCGCTAACTAGACCAGCCTTGCGTTCAATCTGTTCAAATTATATTAATCAGTTAACTGGGATGTTTAGCTTCTAGTTAACACATTTTCTGATTAACTGGAGCTTAATTGGGAAGAGTTACTTTATAGGAATCTTTCCACAATGTGCCCATCCCCTTTCCTAGACTCGAGCTGGATATTGCTTTGATCATCAAAGCTCCCATGATGTCTGGAATCTATATAACGGGCATATGAGTCGCAGGTCTGCTTGAAGACTGTGCTCTGTTGTAGACATAAGGTTCCTGGGCCTCCAATCCTACTGTCAAACCAACATGCTACGTGCTCTTTCTTGCCTGTCGCTCCTGCTCAGGTTTGTTTTGTTTTGTTTTGTTTTGTTTTTCTCATACAAATAAGTGGGTTTGACAAGTTGACCTCTCGGGCGGCTCAGTCGGTTCAGTGTCTGACTCTTGATTTCAGCTCAGGTCATGATCTCAGGGGTTGAGGGATCGAGTCCCACATGGGGCTCTGTGCTCAGTGGGGAGTCTGCTCGAGATTCTCTCTCTCCCTTTGCCCCTCCTCCCGCTCATGTAGTATGTTACACAGTGAAACATACTATTTGCTGTGTTAGAAACTACCCCAAATCTTAGCGACACAAAACAACCAATGTATTGTGCTCATTGATTCTGTGGGTCAGAAATTTGAACATGGCACAACAGGATCTGCTTCTGCTCCTTGGTGTCTGAAACTTTGACATGGAAGGCTCTAAGGCCGGGGCTGAAATCATCAGAGAGTATCTTTCCTTTCATATCTAGTGATTGCTGCAGGCTGTCCGCTGGGATCTCAGTAGGATTGCCAGCTGGAACACCTACACATGGCCTCTTCAGGTGGCCTGGGCTTCCTCACAGCATGGTAGCCTCAGGATGTTGGACTTCTTACATGGTAGCTCATAGCTTCAAAGGCAAGCCTCTTAGCTAATAAGGTAGAAAGTACATCATCCCTTGTGACCTAGACTTGGACATCATAAAGCATCACTATTACCTCATTGTATTGGTCATAAGCAAGTAGTAACTACCTATAGTCTAAGGAAGGGGAATTAGACTCCATCTCTTGTTGGATAGAGAGGCATTTGCAAGATTCTAAAAGAGAATGCAGAACAGGAGATATTGGAAAATACAATCTTTGGATGATACAATCTTCCACAAGTACCCTGGAAAAAGAAAGGGTGGAGAAAGGAAGGGAAATGGTATATTCCAGGGACATAAGGTAAGTGGGCTTCCAATATTAAATAGCATAGAAAGGTAGTCATTAATTAAAGGATAAGGTTTGAGCAGACACATGGTGGAAGAAATCTAGAGGAAGAAAATTCCAGATCAGGGGAGTACAAGGAGGCCAAGAATGATATGAGTAGAGTAATATAAGATGACATTGGAGAAGTAAAGGGGGATTTGACCACGTTGTGCCTTTGGCTTTTACTCTGAATGAAATGGAAAGCCACTGCAGAAATTTGAGAAGACAAATAACCGTCTGACATTATTTTGCAATACTGCTTCTAGCTACTATGTTGAGAAGAGACGTAGGAAGGCATAAGTAAAATCAGGGAGACCAGTTAAGAGGCCATGGCAGTAACCCAGGTGAGAGACAAAGGTAACACAATCAAGGTGTGGCAATGGAGGTGGTGAGAAATGGTTGGATTCTGAATATATATTACAGATAGAACCAACAGGATTTCCTAGTACATTGGCATGGCATGTAAAAGAAAGAGAGGAATCCAGAGTGATTCCAGGGCTATTATCTGAGCCACTGGAAGGATGGAGTTATCTCTAATGGATATGGGGAAGCCATGGGAGAACAGACTTAGGGCCAATGGAACAACTGGGAATTCAAATTTGAACTGAGTTTGAGATGTCTATTAGACTTGATAGTGGAGATGGATAGTAGGTAGTTGGGTATATGAGTCTGGAATTTGAGAAAGAAGCCTGAGTTGGGGAGAAAACTTCAGGACTTACTGTCATGTAGATGATATTAAAGCCATAAGACTGCTCAAAGTCATGAAGCAAGTGAGCATCGACAGAGATGATAACCAAGGACTGAGCCTTGTGGAATTTCAACTCAAAGTGTGAATACTCTCCGTAGACCAGATGTTGTACTAGGCTCTAGGAACTGAGAAGAGATAGAGCCCTTGCCTTCTGGGAGAATTTAGAGCATATTCTTAGACACAGGCATGTAAACTGATCACTTCAATATCTTGGCAAAATGTCACAGTCAAGTGCTATGCGAACCCTTGGGAGTGGCATGCATTCATCCTAGCCTGGGGAGGGATGGCCACTGGCTTTCTGGAAGAAATAAAGCCTAAACCAAAGTTTGAGAAATAGGAATGATCAGATGAAAGCAAAGAAGGGTGTTCTGAGCAGAGGGACTAGACCAGGCTACAGCATGGAGATATACATGGCAGGTTGAGTGAAGAGAACCAGAAGCAGTGTGGTACACAAACTATATTTATTGCACAAAGCATGGAGGGAGATAGGGCTGGAATTGTCAGAAGGAGTGGGCTGGAGTAGGGAAGCAAAGGTACATTTGTCAGGCTAAGGAATTTGAATTCTATTCTAGGGGTCATGCGGAACCATGGAAGGGAGCAGCATTTTTTTTGAAGTTGGATTAGCATTTTAGATTTAATTGTCTGGCATAGATCAGAGCACAGAGACCAGGGGCAGGTAGGCGGGTAGGCGACTAGGACACTAATTGAAGGAAAAGATGGAATTGCTCAAACCAGGAGACTGGGCCCAGAGCCCAGATAAGCCCACACACATTCTCTCGTGTAGAGACATAAAATCAGCTCATGCTCTTTGGCATGTAAACTTGAGTCTCTCAATTATGTATTTTAAGTCCAGTGACTTGAATTCATGTATGAATCGTTCTGAGTTAATAGTCAAAACACCTGGATTCAAG